GGGCAAAGCTGACTATTTTTTTAAACTTGAAAAGATTGCAAAGGGACAATGAAGTTTTTTTTGTTGGTTTTGGGTTTTTTTTTTTGTTAAGAGCCATGTCTGGACCCACATTAATGGATAGCTTAGTGGTGTTCACCTTTTGCTTCCCCCATTTTAACTTGCCACAACCTAGTCATAGTTTGGTTTTTTTGGGGAGGGTTTTTTTTTTTTTGCGGTCTCATTCAACAGGGATTATTGTTCAAATGTTAGTTGTAGTTGCAAACTAGTTTCTTTTAAAGGCATTGCACACGAATTATAAAAAGGCCCTTTGAAGTTTTTGGGTGGGAGGGGAGTGAGTAATATATATATATATTTTTTTTAGTTCCCCAAACAAACATGGGCACAGAAATGCAGTACTGTAAGAAAGAGGGACCTTCAGATTACACAAATATATATTCTTCAGCTGTAAAAAGGGACGGTTGTAACGGAGTTTGTAAGGCACATTAAGCATGCTAAGTGGCGGTGATCAGAACTCTCCTTTTCTGAATCTACTGAGGATCAAAGCAGCAATTGTAATGGGATTCTGTGGGTCTCAGGTTTTGGAGACCGCAGTCAGTTAGTATTGAAATATGACTGGTTTCATAACTGAGGTGCACTGAGAAGCAATCAACGGGTCGGTCCTGGCCAGTCCTGGGGAGGTCTAAGTGGTGGTCTTTGGGATAACCTTTGGCCTTATGGATTTGGACTCTTAAGTTAGAAGAGCCTACCATTTCAGATGCAATCACTTTTGGACATGCTTTTGCAGACAGTCCTTAATGCTGAAAACACAGAGAATGGGTAATTCAAGAGGCCTTTCTTTTAAAATAGACTTTTGTGACCCACTTATTGTAAGGTATTGCAAGGTCACTTTGCGTGTGTCATAAAGTTGACTTCCTTATTGGTTGAAGGTCACAGGAGTAGTGGTTTGCGTTTGATGGAAATAGCTACAACTGTGTCCCTTCCTGCTTTTTACTTTTTTCTTTTGCTTTTTCTCGGCACGTGGTTTCTCCACCATTACTTCTGCACAAAGACGTCTTCTGTTCATCCTGAACATTTTTAAAAATGCAGAATTTTATGTGACTGCTTTTTTGCCTCACAATTATGCTGTGAATTTTACAAAAATTTATTTTCTTTTTTGATAATTTATTGTACCAAAGCTGTTTTTATAGCACATAGATGTCTGTAACCAATAATGTAGCAGTTCTGCACTTTGACACAAGGTGTAACTAGACCATTTTTAAATGTCAGTTGAAAATTATGGCTGTACTATTGCTTAAACAAAACTGGAACTGTTGTTGAATTCATAGCCAATACATTTACAGCAATCTGTGTACTGAACGTAATAGATTGACATCTACTTTGAGACTATAACATCTGTTACATTATAAATGTGTTCAGGCTTCTGAAGGTAAAAGGGACACTAGATCCAGAAGCTATGAAACCAGCAGTTGATTCTTGTATTCCTTATTAACATAATTGTAAACTTGAAGGCAAGACCTTGATTGCATGAACAGGTCCAAAATAATAGTCTGAGTAAAGCAAAACACTCACATGAGACCTGAGGTTAGCAGGCTGTATTTAACAGGTGCCTAATTTTTGGGTAACGCTGCCTTAATATAACACAGTCAGCTTGGCAGTTGCAAAATATACAGGCCCATTCAGCGATTTATTCGTAGGAATAGTGAAAGCTCCATGAAAAACCTTTGGAAGAATGAGGGTAATGCATCGATTGCCCATCCCAGGTTAACATTGTTTGCCCATTCTATATTACCGAAGCAGTGATCTACCTCTGCCAGGAAGCCCTTTCAAAAGCTAATTTTGCAGAAAATTCAGAGTTCATACTGGTCAATTCCATGCGGCCAAGTATTTTTTTTTCAGGCTAAAAGGTGGAATTTTTTTATACTTAGAGTCACAATGCAGCAGCTGACAACCGTGTAGATGGGAACGAATAATCGGGATGACCTTTTTTATGTAAACCATGATTTGTTTTAATCAAGAGATCCATATTTCTTTTTTATTGACACATCAACCCTGTGGATGAAAGTGGGGTTTTTTGCTTTTTCCTTTTTGTTTTTTATTTCTGAACTCAATAATGAAGAGAAGTTTACAGGATTTGGAAGGCTGTCACCTTAGAAACAGGATACTGAGTTGAGCAATACAAAAAGGAATCCAGTACTTACTGCTGTCTAGGAATATAAGGGTAATATGAAATCTGGGTAATTTTTGTGTGTGCGGGTTGCCACACCTTAGCAAGCGCCAAAAAAATAAAGCAGTTAAATAAAAATATCTACATAAAGAAGAAATCATAAAATCCAGTGCTTCTGCATACTGTGTTATGTTACAGTCCAGTTTTGTGTGCTTTACTACACAGTTTGGTTACAGGACTTCTGTGCATTGTAAACATAAACAGCATGGAAAAGGTTAAATACCTGTGTTCAGATTGTAAGATCTAGTCCGGACTTGCTGTGTATATTGTAACGTTAAATGAAAAGACAAGCCCTTTGTATTATAGTCATGCAGTCTTATGTATGATAAACAGTTGAATAATTTGTCCTCAGACTCTTTACTGTGCTTTTTAAAAAGAGTAATTTAAGAAAAAATGTAAACATAGTAAATCTTCCTATGCAATTAACCTACTCCAAGCCATGGTATGGTAGGTATAATTATACTATAATATGTAAATATCAGCTACCTTGAAACAGACTTAAAAATATGAAAGTAAAAGTTGGAGGCATAACAGATAATTTTGAGTTTTTAATTGAAACAGCAAGGTATACAAGTCGTTGATGTATGAACACAGTTCTGCTTGATTCTGATGGACTGTACTTGTAGTTTGAGTTCTTTATATTATCATCTGTTAGTTTGAATGTTCTTGTATGCACTGCAGCTTTCTACCTATTGCAGACTAGCTGACGTTAAGGCCAGGAGTGACCATTGTAATGAAATGATCTGACGGGCATGCCATTATCCCTAGAATTCAGTCTAGTTTTTTTCTGCATCATGAAGTCTGTATCTTTTGGGTGCAGTAGAGCCTACTTTTGAACAAAATAGCTGATGTTCACGTAGATTCTTCCAGTGTGAGGATTTTTCCGCGTCTCTTGAGTGATTCGGCTAGTTTATTTTCCATACTCTTAGTCGTCCTTCAGTTTTAGGACTTTTTAGTTCTAGCTACTGGCACCAGATAGCTAGCTGCCTATTAGAATAACAAGTAACTACTCTAGTTTTAAACTATTTCACTTTATTCACATAAAACTATGTTAACTTTAATAACCTATATAAATGGAGTTCCTAAAATCTCTTAACTGTAATGCTTTTATGGCTCTTCTGAAACGTCGGAGGTTTTAAAATCCATTCTAAAATGTGGATTTAAGAACTGCATACAGCACCTGGTAGTGATTTCAGTATTGCTGTGTGCGTGTTAGTATGTGCAGGTACATTCTTGAACCTTTCAGTTTATGTCTTCGCTTGTTTGTTTATACCTCCAAGGACTGCATTTTTAAATCTTTCAGTCTCAGTTATTTGCATTAAAAGATTGTAAATTTAGCTGATTATCCATCATGATTCCTAAGTACTTTTCAGAACTGCTGCTCTTCCAGGATGTAGTCTTCCATCCTGTAAGTGTAATGATGTCTGAACGGGATGGGTTTACACAAGGGTTGGATTCACCTGTAGAGGTGACTTGTCTTCGTTGCTTATCTCTCTACCATTGTTATTTTCATTAAACCATCAATGTCCTTATATTTTATTCTTGATAACTGAAAAATCTTAAATACCTTTGAAGATGTTTCTGATGGGTTTCAATCAGAATTATCTTTTTTTTTTTTTAATGAGGAAGTAATCTAAAACTCTAACCTTCTGACACAACATGGTGAATGTGTTGTGTTGATTTATAGAACAAATACATTTCAATAAGATGATCATATGGAAGTGTCTTTCTAGTCAAAATTACACAAGTAACTGACTAAAAATAGAGTTCTTGCTGGGTGTTGATCTCATGAGGATAGTTTGTAAATAGCATGACTTTGGCAAGTGATTTATTTTACTTGGAAGGATGGGTTTTAGAATTGCACAATATCTCACGCCTGTGAAGCAAAGAAAGACACCTTGCCATATTGCAGTTTCCTCTTACATATCCCTGGTTTTGTGGGGTTCTGCAGAAGCAACCTCATGTAGAAAATTGTGTAGTTGGTATGTATTTCTCCACCAATAAGGGCGGTTCAACTATTTTTTCCATATTGAGATGCCTTGTTTTTATTTCAACCATTCTTCATACTAGCCCTATCAAATCGATGTTATCTGCCTAGTCCTGAGAGGATTTGTAGTTTCTGTTGTTTATTGTGTTTTATGCTAGATGTTACAGAGCATCACAGAGTTTAATCACAAAATGGTCACTATAGCTGTCCTTGAGGACCTGAATGATGTGAGGCTGCAAAATACTTCATAAGCCAGACAAAGGTGGTAGTTAAAATTTTAAACTTCAGGCTCCTTTGCTGGACAGAAGAGAGAAATTTTAATTCATTTTGAGCCATGTTCATCGATTCTACAGGGAAAGTGAGGACAGAAGATTTAGAAGATGAAACTGAGAAATATTTTTTTATGTGGTCTTAGTCCTAGGAAAGCATGTGAGGGAAGCTAAATGAAAAAACTTCATGTCCATGCTGAATAAGGCTCTACTGTTCTACTTTGACATAGAAAGTAACATTTTTCACAGAAGGTTTAATTCCAGTAATTATGATGTGAGAGATGTGTAGAATGTAGCTGTGTTTTGTTTCAAGGTGGGCTTGAATCCAGACTGTTTATAAAGCGGCAAGACATAGGACAAATCTGTAAGTTTGCAAGAGAGCAGAAATGAGTTTATTGCAATTTAGAAAGGCTAAACTGAAGGAAGATTTGATTTATGACAGCAGACCAAACGAGCACATGTTGGAGAGATCAGACTGGCAGAAGCGGC